GTGGTGGAGATAGGAGGTTCCCTGTGACTCACTGACCATGCAGCCTAGCTTAATCGGCTATCCCCAGGTTCTAGTGAGAGGCTCTGTCTCAAAATACAAGGTGGATGGCTCCTGAAGTATGACACCTGAAGCTGATCTTTGGCCTACACATGTACACACATGCCTACACATATACAAACATGCATACACACACAAACCAACTATTTGTTGCCAGTAAGAAATAAATCTCATTGACAAAGACAAACACAGCCTTAGAGTGAAAAAATGGAGAAGACATTCTAAGCAAATAGAGCTCAGAAGAAAGCAGGACTAGCTACAGCAAAACCTGGCACCATCATCTTCAAAGTCAGTCAGATGAGAGATGGTCACTCCATATTGATTAAGGGAGAAATCCATCAAGAGGATATAGCATTTGTAAACACATACACACCAAACATTAGGCTATTCACAATTTCACAAAACAAATACTGCTAGAGTTTATGTCACAGATCAACCTCAACACAATGATATTGAGTAGCTTCAATACCCAACTCTAACCAAGACAAATTACTCAGACCAAAAAAAAACAAAGAAAATCACAGTCAAATGACACTATAGATCAAATGGACTTAATGGACATCTACAGAATATTCTTACCCAACAACTGCAGAACACACATTCTTCTCAGTATCCTGTGAATGTTCTTCAAAACAGATAATGTTTTAGGACATAAAGCAAGTCTTATCAAGTACAAGACATTTGAAATAGCTTCTTGCACTCAGAATGGAATGAAACTAAAAATCATCATCGAGAGAACCTATAGGCGTTCAACACAGTCATGGAGATCAGGAAGGAGGCTAAAAATTTTCCTAGAATAAAATGAAAAGGAAAACACAATACAGCAGAACTGTGGGGTACAATGAAAATAGTTCCAAGAGGGAAATTTATAGCTATAAATGACTACATTAAAAAAATCAGAGAGAGTCATGTCAAGATGGCAGATTAGAAGCAGCCTCCATGTGGTGCCACGTTTGAGAAAAGTCAGGGAAGCAAAGGCTAGATTTTATACTAAAGACAGGAAAAAAAAAAAAAAAGAAAGAAAAGCATCAGAAGTCACAAAAGAGATGACAGTGGAAAATCCTAGAAAAACAAAATAAACATAAATGATGAGGAACTTGTCTCCCTGGTACCCTGACAGAGGAGAGGGAGCTGAGGACTCTTCCAAGGTGGCTAGTGGCCGTGGAAATAAAAGAGCACTGATATTATCCTGGGCACCAACATATTAGGTATCGTGAGTATGAAGAGAAAGGGAACAGAGGAAAGTAATCCCGCCAAACTCAGGGTAAGAGTCATTATTAGTATTGTGCTGATAAAGAAAAATGGAGGGGGAGAACTGTATCTGGAAGAGGGACCAGTAGGGGCAAAGGTCGGAGAGGAGCAGTAGCTTTGGCTGAAGATTGGCTGAAAAGAGAGAGGCAGATATGTGCAATAAAAAGCAGGACATGGTGACTTTCAGAGGATCTGGGTTCATTTCCCAGCCCACATAGTGGCTAACAACTGTCCTAACTCCAGTTCCAGGGAATCCCACACCCTCATCTGACCTCCATGGCCACTGCATGACACGGGTACACTAATATACATGCAGGCAATACAGTCATGCACATAAAATAAAAATAAGTAAATTTTCTGTTCTAGTGCCTCTTCCTACTTAGTAAAAATGAAGACTTCAGGATCTTTAAGAAAGAGTGATGTAGGAAGACACACCCTAGATAATGAAAGCAAAGCTTGTCTTTCACAACCTCTGCACATGTTCAAGTTACAATTCATTCAGTATTTGCTGTCAAAAGTTGAGGAAATTGGATGTCTCCAAAATAGACCACTGTCCTTTCGACACAAAGATCAGCTGGACTCTGACATGTGTGTGGCTTCTGCTTTGGTCTCTCCCACATCAACTCTCCAGGATATAGTTCTTAACTCTGAGTGACTCCCCATCTCTGGTTATTGCTGCAGAGGAAAGCCAAGAATCATAGTCTCCAGACTTTCCACAGGTAATGTGCTGGGGATGCCAGGGAGACCAATGGGACAGGTAATGTGTTAGAGGATGCCAGGAGAGGGGAACTCTGGAACTTGGGTGGAAGTCAGTGTGAAGATATAGAAGAGGTCAGTGCAGGACTTGAGATTATTCTCTTCATTGGATTCTAGTTTGGGTTATGTCAGCCACAGTACCCAGTAAACCTGGGTTTCATCTTAACTCTAGCCTCAGCCTTAAGCTTAGACTTTTAGAGATATTCTAGATCTGAACTATAGCTCTAGCCTGAAACATGTATGTTCATATGTGTGTGGGTGCACATGTACATGTATGCACATGCATGTGGAGGTCAGAGAACAACCTTGTGTCTCATTCCTCAGGAGCTATCTCTCTTGTTTATTTATTTATTTAGTTTGTTTATGTATGTGTACGTATGGGGAGTGTAGGCATGTGTGTGCACATGTGTGTGCTCACATGTGTGGAGGCCAGAAGTTGACACTGAGTGTCTTCCTTTGTCACTTTCTGCCTTATTTTTTGAGGCAGGGTTTCTCACTGAACCTGGAGTTTGCCGTTTAGGCTGCCTGCCCTGGTGAGTCCCTGGGATCTGCTGGGGCTACAAGAGCATGCCACCACACTCGGATTTCAAATGGGTGTTAGGGATCTAAACTCCGGTCCTCATGCTTTCGCAGCAAGCACTTTACCCACGGGGCCACCTCCCCCGTCCCATCTTGTTTTGGCATAGGGACTCTTACTGACACAGGACTTGATTAGGCTGGGTTGACCATCCAGCAAGCTTTAGAGATCCAGCTTCTCTGCCTCTCCAGCACTGGGATTGCAAATATGCCACCATGCCCAGATTTTTTACATGGGTTTTGGGGATCAAACTTAGGTCCTCACTTTATTGACCGAGTATCCCCTAACTCCAGTTCTAACCTTTGCTTCTACTTCAACAGTAACCCTAGTTTTAATCTCATTTAAAACTTGAATCTTCATACCAGCCCTGCCCCAAAATTGAACCTCAACATTAATCTGCTTTCAGTTTTGCTGCAAGCGTAGACCCAGTTCTTCTATGATTCCTGACTGAGTACTTATGCCAATCTTAGCATAGGCACAATGTCAAATTCAGCCCCACTAAAAATACTTTATTATTTTTATTTTATGTGACTGAGTGTATTGCTTGCATGTAGGTAGGTGCACCCATGTCATACAGTGCCTGCTGAGGTCAGAGAGGGATCCCCTGGAACTGGAGTTACGAATGGTTGTTAGCCTCCACATGGGTGCTGGGACTCGATCCTGGGTCCTCTGCAAGAGCAATGAGTCCTCTTAACCACTGAGCTGTCTCTCCAGCCCAAGTTCAGGCCCATTTTAGACCCAGTAGTAGCAATATGTTTAGCTCTAATTTTTTTGAGGTCTTAAAATTTCATTTTTTATTTGAAAACGTCCAAGGGACAGTATTCATACTTTGCTAACATTTTCAATGGTGTTTAAGTTCCAAATCATCCATGTTTTATCTTTGAATCACAAATTATGAAAAGTGGCTATTTGTTTTTTCTACACACACCAAAAGTAGAATTATTCATAGACCATGAAAATATCAAGAAATGCTCCAATGGCAATGTATTCCATTAGTCATGTTGATGCTTGAGATAGTAATAGATGTAACAGATATTCTTGGACACAAAACAAAACAAAATGAGCTCCTGGGCTAGCAAGATGGTAAAGGTGCCTACCATCAAGCCTCAAGACTTGAGTTCAATTCCCAGAACTTACATAATGGAAGGAGAGAACTAACTACTACAAGTTACCCTCTGTGTGCACACATGCACATTAAATAAAAATAAATAATAAAAAACAAAATAACAAAGTCTTGATTTCTTATCTTCTATTGGTTTGTTTGTTTGTTTGAGACAGGGTCTCGATGGAGCCCTAGCTGGCTTGGAATGATGTAGACCAGGCTGGCCCTGATCTAACAGTGATCCACCTGCCTCTGCCTCCCGAGTGCTTGAATTAAAGCTGTGCACCACCACTTATGGCTGATTTCCTATCATTTTTAAATGATGTGTTGGCCGGGCGTGGTGGCAAACGCCTTTAATCCCAGCACTCGGGAGGCAGAGGCAGGCGGATCTCTGTGAGTTTAAGGCCAGCCTGGTCTACATAGCGAGTTCCAGGACAGCTGGGGCTACAGGGAGACCTTGTCTCAAAAAAGACCAAAAAATAAAAAATAAAAAAAAAATAAATGATGTATTGGAGGAAATTAGTTTTCTTTAGAATCTTAAATCATTTAGAATGAAAATGTAGTATGAGGCTTTCCCAGTGAGGACAGGAAAAATATAACATGTTTGTTAAATAAATGGAAAAGAAAGCCCTACTACACACAGCATTTAGAACTAGTGTTCCACCAAGAGATTCCTTTTAAAAATGTTTAGCGTAGAAGACAGGCAGAGTTTACTCCAGAATAATGTGAGGAGGAACTAACTACTACGAGTTACCCTCTGTGCCTTCCTCTCAAAGGAGAAAAGGGGGCAAAGACCTAAGGAACCATTGCAGTGGAAAATGCGCTTATGGAGTAAGAGTGGACCATGGCAAGAGAGACCATTGCCCCACCAAGAGATTCATTTGATGGCCCTTGTGTGTTCAAATTGTGGTCTGGCAAGTCATCCTTTGATCCAAAAGAAATGCCATGCTGTTTTCTTTCAAATACTTTGTCACTTTGGCTAATGCTGTAAAACAAGACGGAGTAGCACTGAATCACACATCTGTAGCTCCATTTTTACCTCCAAATTTGGTCCCAAACTCAACTCCACCTCAAAGGTCAATTTGATTCTTACTTCACTTTTGGCTTCACCCCAGCTTGTTTCATCCGAGTCGTGACCGAGAGTTCTACCCTGCTTCTGCTTCAGGCCTTGTCTTAGAAGTAGTTGCACTCCAAACTGAACCCTGGACTCTCAGTTTCAGTTCTGACAGCCCCAGAGCCCTTGTGTTTGTTGCAAGCATGACAACGAAGTATGAAAACTTCCAGAACTTGGGGAGTGAGGAGATCGGAAAAGGTGAGAGGAAAAGAGAAATGTTCTCTTGATATGCCCTGCAAAATTTCTACTGTCCTCTCCTGCCATGCACCTCTGCTCCCTCCCCATCAATGGGTTCAGGTTCTAGACTATGAGAGCCCATTAAGATGAGGATACAAGGTCTTCAGAAAGACAAACAGGAAAGGCCTGAGTGATCTGGCTTCCTGTGCTCTGTGGGAGGGGATGAGTGTACAGTGCAGGTAGCTGGGTTTGGAGGGAAAACTCACTATATGCGCACGTAATCACACAGAGGCTAAGGAACTGATAATGGCCTGGCTGCCCATAGCTGTCTCTGTGTCCTTCACGTACCTCCTCCAACTCTGATATAAGACCTCACATAGCACTGTTGTCCTTACCAGTATGTACTTAATGTATGTGCATTTCCATGGTTGTGCACATGGGCCTGACAGTGTGCCAGGCTTGTGTGAGTGAGGACTTGTGCTGGTTTATGAGAGGTGAAAGGCTGGAGCACCCCCACCCCACAGTCCTTATCCACTCTGTCTACAGCATTACCAGGGCCAAGCTGCCATCCTTAGATAGGTCCCTGGGGCCTACTCTTGCTCTGTCACATTCTAGAGCATTTTTATCCTGACACTCTTCTCTTTCAGCGCCTTCTCCCCAGTCCATCCTGTGCAATACCTTCTCTTGGACCTGCCTTATCCTGTTCTCCCTGGGCCTCAGCCTCCTGTTGCTGGTGGTTGTCGCTGTGATTGGATACCAAAGTGGGTGCCCTCAGGATGGGCAGGGAAGAGAGAAACCACAAGGGTCTAGTGGCAGGGCAGGATGGAGACCCTCAGCAGGAACACTGATGGGTCCAAGGGGCCATTGTGGGACAACAGTGAGGGTCATGACAATGACAAAGGTAACAGCCAGAGGGCTGTAATGGATAGTGTCTTTAATGGAGTGATGGACGAGAACAGTAGTGGAACACTGATAGGGACAGCGAAGGACCCTGAGGGGGAGACTGCTGGCTGCATTTATTGTTATTGGGTTATACAGTCACATTGCCTCACGTCCTGAGCCTTAGTTTCTTCATGTGCAATACTGGGTAACAGCAGTACCTGCCCCACTGGGTTTCTGTGGGGGCAGAATGAGGCATGCAAAGGCACACAAAGAGCCCTGCTTACTGCTGCCACGTGGAGGACATGATCTATCTTGGTTCTGCTCATCCTGTCCACCTCATCAGATTCCCAGTTACAGAGAGACCTAGGCACCCTGAGAACCACTCTGGACAACCTCACCTCAAACACAGAGGTCAAATTCCAGGCACTGACCTCCAAGGGTGAGCTGGACTTTGACAGGGTTCTGGGCTAGAGTCAGGGTGGGTGGGGAGGACCGAATGCTGAGCTTCAGCCCTTTGCTCTCCAGGTAACAGCTTGCAAGAAAGTATAGGTTCTCTGAAAGAGGAGGTGGAGGATAACAGGCAGGAACTGCAAGCAGGTGAGACCTTGGTCTGTGAACGTGCAGAAGGCTGTGGGTGGACGTGGCCTCCTGGTGCTGAACTGCCCTCCTTCTAGGCCGCAGCTTGAAACAGAAGGTGGAGTCTCTGGAGAGCACGGTGGAGAAAAAGGAGCAGGCACTCAAAACAGGTCAGATTGCTGTTGCCCTGTGCCTGGTAGGAGGTGTGTGTGTGTGTGTGTGTGTGTGTGTGTGTGTGCATGTGTGTGTGTGTGTGTGTGTGTGTGTGTTGTGTGTGTGTGTGTGTGTGGGTGTGGGTGTTGCTAGGCTCTGTGCAGAGCATCGGAGCACTAGGAACTCACCAAGCAGATGCTACCCCTAGAGCGCTGTCCCCACTCCTGTCTTTGTGTCCCAGATCAATCTGAAATATTCCTGCACATCCAACAGCTGGGGAAGGACTTGAAGTCCCTGAACTGCCAGCTGGCCAACCTCAAGAACAATGGTGAAGAGGGTCGGGGGTGTAAGTCTCCCTAGTTTATGGTTTATGTTGCACTGTTCTGCATCCCTGCCTTCTCTGATGCCTCCGTAGGCTCTGAAATGACCTGTTGTCCCCTTCACTGGACGGAGTATGAAGGCAGCTGCTATTGGTTTTCTAAATCTGGGAAATCATGGCCAGAGGCTGACAAGTATTGCCAGTTGGAGAATGCCCACCTGGTAGTGGTCAACTCCATGGAGGAACAGGTAATGCCTGTCTGGGCTCTTCTGGGAGGATGTCTGTTGGAAGAGAGTGGTCATCTCCCCCATTTTTTTCCTCCTCAGAAATTTATCCAGCTCCACAAGGGCCCTGGGCATACCTGGATGGGCCTAACGGACCAAAATGGCCCTTGGAGATGGGTGGATGGGACTGACTTTGACACAGGATTCAAGTATGTGTGTAGCCCTAAAGCTTGCTCCTTCTGTCCGGGACTGTCCCACTTCTTCAGCATGTGACCCCAGGGCTGGAGGGGCTCCCGGAAACATGACTGAAAACCTGATCTCCTGGGGATCATAAGTTGTGTTTGTTTTCAGGAACTGGAAACCATATCAACCAGATAACTGGCATGGACATGGGCTGGGAGGAGGTGAGGACTGTGCCCACTTCCATAGTGACGATGGTCGTTGGAATGATGTCTGTCAGAAGCTTTACAACTGGATCTGTGAAACAGAGCTGGGCAGAGGCAGCTAAGACTCCCTGACCCCTAACTTATTTACCCAAAGCCTTGAGCTGCTGAAATTTGGGATTGATGATCCTCTTGTCTCCCCATCTTGGGCATTTTATCTAGGATGTTAAGGGACGGATAAAGAATGGTGTCTAAAAAATGTAGTTTGGTGTTTGGAAGGGTGGGGTTGTTGAAACCCATGAGACTGTGCTGGGTGTAGGCTATTATTGTCAACTTTTTTACAGAATAAAAGAAGGGAAATACACATTCTATGAGTTCTCTTGTCTGGTCATTGGTTAACATTAGGAAGCCTTGGATGAGTAGTGGCAACAAGCGAGTTGAATGGATTTTAGTCAGATAATCTGGTTAGGAACGCTGTTTTGTTATATATTGCTATGGGAGGGTGCACAAGTTATTCTGTTCTGAGTCTCCACTAAAATGGGATTGTTACTACTGACCACTTACCTATTTGTGGCACTCCTGCTTGGAATAGTGAGTGCTTCAAAATTTTTGAATAAATCTTACCGGTCTGTTGTATTCACTACTATAATGAGAAGCTGGATTCATAGATAGGTGACAAAATAATATGGATTTACAACCCAGAATCATCAAACACATAATGACATCCAGGATCCTGGATGAGAATCACTAATTTCAACAACTAAGGATGGTCGTGAGGATACCCAGTTAGGATTTAGAGATGCTTATGGAATCATGAACAGAAATGGACAAATTATTTGCCTATAAGTAAAAATTCAGTAAGTTACAAAAAGGAATAATTCTTTGAGATTAAACATAAAAGAACATCCTTTAAAAATATTTTTTATTTTTATTTTATGTGTATGAATGTTATGCCTGCATGTATATAAGTGTAGTGCCCACAAAGGACAGAAGAGGGTGTTGGATCCCCAGAACTGGAATTTCAGATGGTTGTTCTCAGCTGCCATGTGGGTGCTGAGAATTGAACCCTGGTCTTATGCAAGAACAGTCAGTACTTTTAGCTGCTGAGCCATCTCTCCAGCCCCAAAATTGAATCCTTTTTTTTTTTTTTGAGACAGGGTCTCCCTGTAGCCCCAGCTGTCCTGGAACTCACTATGTAGACCAGGCTGGCTTTGAACTCACAGACATCCGCCTGCCTCTGCCTCTGCCTCCTGAGTGCAGGGATTAAAGGTGCGTGCCACCACAGCTGGCCCAAAATACATCTTTAAAAAAATGAACCAATATACAATTTTTTTGTACTTAAAATACAGCTTTTTTTTTTTTTACTTAAGAGAAAATCGAAATGGAAAAGTTAAGTGATTTAGAAATGAAGAATGTGAACGTTTAAGACATTTCTCAGGAGCAATTGCATGTAACCACAGCACATTTATTAAAAATTAAGATAGGCTGGGTGTGGTGATACATGCCTTTAGTCCCAGAACTCAGGAGGCAGGCAGATCTACATAGTGAGTTCCATGCCAGCTGGGGCTACAGGAAGACCCTGCCTCAAAAAGACAAAAGACAGCGGGGAGTAGTGGTGCACGCCTTTAATCTCAGCACTTGGGAGGCAGAGGCAGGCAGATCTCTGTGAGTTCAAGGCCAGCCTGGTCTACACAGTGAGTTCCAGGACAGCTGGGGCTACAGGACACCCTGTCTCAAAAAGACAAAAAAACCCCAAAAAACAAAAAAACAAAAAAACAAAAGAAACAACAACAAAAAGACAAAAAACAAAACAAAAAGATTGTTATGGGGAGGGGTTTTGTAAACTGAAATCTCCCCATTTTCCTTCTGTTTAAAATTATATAAAGTCACAGGGCATGGTTGCACATTCCTTTAATCCCAGCACTCAGGAGGCAGAGGCAGGCGGATCTCTGTGAGTTCAAGGGCAGCCTGGTCTACATAGTGAGTTCCAGGCCAGTCCCCCTACAGAGAGACCCTGTTTCAAAAGACCAAAAAAAAAAAAAAAAAGAATTATATAAAATCATTCTATCATAATTCTATTTAATATCTAAATTGTATTGCTATACATAAAGTATGGTCAAAGAAAAAAAAGTATCACTCTGATACCCAAACCAGATGTTGGATAGGCATGTCCTCCAAAAGAATTAGCAAAAGCTGGATGTTGGAACCCTAAGAGACTTTGTAGAAAGGGAGGGAGGTAGTCACCCCTCCCACCCAACTGGTCAGCTACAATTGCGTGAGGGGGAGGACCTAAGGCTAGACACAGAAGAAGCCAGGGAGGAGGCAGGAACTTCACCAGTGGCCAGTGGCTGCGGATCTGGAAAAGCTCAGCTGAGATGTAGGAAATAAAAGCCCACAGGGTCCATGATTTTGTAAGTAACCCTTCCTCATTGCCATAGCTCTGTTGGCAAACCCAAGTAAATATCTTTATTCCCTAAACTGTAGTTTTTATCGGTCGGTAGTGAAGAAAGCGTGGATCGTAAGGACAGTCTGGGGACTGGGAGCCGAGAGCACAGGCAGCATGGGCCTCCCAGAAGTAAATTTGACTTTACACCAGATAAGGATATAATAAGGAGGGAGGAAGGGAGGGAGGGAGAGAGGGAGGGAGGGAGGGAGGGGGGAGAGAGAGAGAGAGAAATTATAGACTAATTTCCATAATGAACACAGACTCAAAAATTCTCAAGAAAATACTTTTAAATTTCATTAAAAACATAACAAAAAGATAATCTACCATGATCAAGCTGGTTTCAATCTAGGGATGCAATGATGTTTCAACATATACAAAACAATAAATTTAGAACAGTTGTATTAGTTACTTTCCTGTTGCTGTGATAAACACCTTGACCAAAGCAACTTATGGAAGGAAGAATTTATTGGGCTTATGGCTCCAAGTGGTAAGAGTCCATCATGGTCGGGGAGACATGGCAGGAGGCGTCACAACTGGAGCAGAAAGCTGAGAGCTCACATCTTCAAGCATGCACAGGAAGCAGAGAGAGAAACTGGAAATGGGACAGAGCTCTGAACACTCAAAGCCCACCCACAATGATGTGTTTTCTCCAACAAGGTTGCACTCCCTAAACCTCCACTAATAGTGCCACCAATTGACCAAGTGTTCAACTACTTGAAGTCTATGGGGGACACTTATTCAACCATCATAACAGTCTATATATAGAAACATAAATTATATAACATCTCAATAGATGCAGAAAAAGCCTTTCATAAAGTTCAACATTACTCTAAAAACCCTGAAGAAACTGGGAATAGAAGGATGATGCTTTAGCATAAAAAAAGGGTATATATGACAAACCTATAGCTGACCTTATGCTAAACAGGGGAAAGTTTGAAAGTATTTCTTTTAAAATCAGAAAGTAGACATAGGTGTCTATTCTGTCCACTGTTATTCAATATAGTGTTTTAAGTTTTAGCCGTAACAATAAGGTGAGAGAAAGAAATAAAAGAGATACAAATAGGAAAAAATGAACTCAAATTATTCTTAATTGCAGGTGGTATGATCATATACTTAAAAGTCATTAGTCTATCGGAAATATATATATATGATATATATGGGAATTTATTAAATTAGCTCACAGGATAGAGTCTGAGTAGTCCAACAATGGCTGCACCACACTGGAGAGACTGAGAATCTGGTAGTTGCTCAGTTCATGAGGCTGGATGTCTCAGCAGTCCCAATCTGGCACTGAAGGCCTGACAGATTCCTAGAGATCTGCTAGTCTTCAGTCTACATTGGAATCCAAAGAAGGTGGTCACAGCAGCAAGATGAACTCACCAGTGAGAGAAAAGGCAAGGGGCAAAAAGCAAGAGCTCCCTTCTGCCATGGCCTTTTATACAGGCTGCCATCAGAAGGTAATGCTCACATTTAGGGTGGGTCTTTCAGCTTCAAATGGTCCAATCGAGAAGGTCTCTCTCATTTTAGCTAATCCCAGATCCAGTCAAGTTGACACCCAGGATTAGCCATCATACAACCCCATTCACAAAAGCTAAAAATTCTTTCTTAAAGAATTCCTTCCTTAAAGGAATAAATCTAATATAGGAAATGAATGACCTGTACAATAAAAACACTGAATTAAGATATTGAAGAAGACTCTAGAAGATAGAAAGATGTCTTATGCTGATGGGTCTGAAGAATTAATATCACTAAAATGTATATGCTACTAAAAACGTACAGATTCAATGTAATCACCCACAAAATTCCACTGGCATGAGATGGCAAGATGGCTTAGTGGGTGAAGGTACTTGCCACCATGCCTGATGACTTGAGTTCAATCCCTAGGACCCCACATGGTAAAGGAAAGAACTGACTCCTATAAGTCTTCCTCTTACTTCCAAACACATTCTATGGCACACACACACCCTCTCTTAAATAAATATATACATTATTCCCAAGAATATATAAAAGAAATATTAAATTTATATGGAAGTGCCTAAGTTCCTGAATAGTCAAAGCAATTCTGAATAGAAAGAATAATAATATAAGAGAGAAAATTTAAATTCCTAGAATGAAATGATAATGAGAACATATCAGAACCTGTGGGGTACAATGAAAGTGATCTAAGGGGAAATTTATAGCTGTAAATTCCCGTGTTTAAAAAATTAGAGCAATCTCAAATAAACAACCTAATGATTCATCTCAGGGTCCCAGAAAAACGAGAACAAGCCAAACTCCAAATCAGTAAACAGAAAGAAATAATATAGATAAGGGAATTAAATGTAATGGAAATGAAAAGAACAGAACAAAGAATTAATGAAATGAATAGTTGGCTCTTTGAAAAGGTGAGCAAAATCGACAGACCCTTAGATAACAAAAGAAAGCGGGAAGGCCCAAATTAATAAAATGGCAGTGAAAAGAGAAGTGCTGCAAGTGGTACTCATAGAATTCATAGGACTATTAGGACATTGAAAACCCATATTCCAGTAAATTGGAAAATCTAGAAGAAATAGATGTTTTAAGAGACATGTGATCTATGAAAATCAAAACGAGAGGATACAAACTTCAGTAGGCCTATAACAAGCAACGAGATTGAAGTGGTAATAAAATATTTCCCAACTAAAAAAGACCATGGCTGCATGGATTCACTGCTGAATTCTATCAAACCTTTGAAGGAGAAACACACGCCATGGTACATATATACAATGGAGTTTTATTCAGCTATAACAAAAATTAAATTTTCAGGAAAATGGATTGAACTGGAAAATACTAATGCTAAGTGAGGTAACCCAGACCAGAAAGACTAACACTACATGTTCTCCCTCATGTGTGGATCCTAGCTTCAAATATTCAGATTTGTGCTTTTGATTTGGAGTCTTTGTAG